AAAAAAGCAGAGTCAGGTGCTTTTGTTCATTAGAGTCAGTTTTAGCAGTTTGTATCACATCTGCATTTACCATGCACAGCTGCAGAGGAACCAGGATTCCCACTTGACCAGGTGTTCTGTTGCCATTCCATACTGCCAATGTTCTTCAGTTGTACAAGGAACTGAAGTAAGGAGATTTCAGCAGCTGAGCAATGCCATTGGCATCTAGACTTTTAATTCAAATCAGAGATTTGAGTGACCTGTGTATTGTTAGAATGAGTGTTTGACTGCTCAAGTCAGTTAATCCAAAGAATTAAAAAAGTAAAAAGGAATAAAGCATTAGCAAAAAGATGTAAAATCTCTCTACTGGAAAATGGATGAAATTATTCAATACATTAAAAAAAAAAAAAAGTGTTTTTTGTTTGTTTTTAATATGTATCACAGAATTGCAGAATTGCAGGGATTGGAAGAGACCTTAAGAGACCATTGAGTCCAACTCCTCTGCTAAAGCAGGTGCCCTACAGTAGGTCACACGGGTAGGCGTCCAGACAGGTCTTGAATATCTCCATAGAAGGAGACTCCATAGTCTCTCTGGGGTGCCTGTTCTATTGCTCTGTCACCCTTACCATAAATATTCTTCTGAATATTTATATGGAACTTCCTATGTTCAAGTTTTAGGCTTCTTGTCCTATCTCTACAAAGCACTGAGAAGAGCCTGGCCTCATCCATTTTCCTCCCGCCTCCCTTTAGATACTTATAAACATCAATCAGATCCCCTCTCAGTCTTCTTTTCCTTAGGCTGAACAGTCCCAGGTTACTCAGCCTTTCCTCATACAGGAGATGCTCCAGGCCCTTTATCATGTGTGTGGCCCTCTGCTGGATTTCTTCTAGGAGATCCCTGTCTTTTTTGAACCAAGTAGCCCAGAACTGGACAGTTTTCCAGATGTGGCCTCATCAGCACAGAGTAGATGGGGAGGATCACTTCCCTCAACCTGCCAGCCACGCTCTTTTTAACGTGCTCTCTTTTTAATACTACATATATGTATATATACACAGACATATGTTTAGTATCACTGCAGCAGTTCCATCCACAGTGAAAACAGAGTTCTTGTTTTCTGCCTGTCAATAGTTAATTACATAGAATTCTGTGCTTTTTCTTATTATTTATTGTCACTGCATGCTCACAAGATCATTCTTCATTTCTAATCTTTAAGATGATATCTGTAATCTCAAGTTCATACTGGTATTTAAGGGAAAATTTTAATTCATCTTTAGTGGAAAACTAAAAACTATTGCCTTTCTGTTTCAGTGCATAGCTCTCAGATGAATAAGATTTTTGGCAAAACTCTTAGCTCTCCTTTCCAGTCAATGAACATATGCGTGGATGAGAAATTTTCTGAGTTACAGGCATAGAAAATGCTGACAGCTTGGCAGCAGCTTTGAGTTTTTCAATAAAATGATAACTACTTTTTTTTTCTGTTCCAGGAAGCAGGTTGTAAAACACTCTTTGAATACTGTATCTAAAAATCCTAGGAGCTCTAACTTTCCTTTTGTTTAGTATAAAGTAGCTAATAAATGTGATAAAGGAATTATAAGCTCACAGGATTTGTTGTTAGTCTTATATCAAACTGGGTACCTTCTTATTAGGATCAAATTTGATTTATATAAACCTGGAGAAAACACAGAGATGGCATAGTTTTGGGAAGCTGAAAAAACAGTGCAAACTCAGTGATAGGGTACTACTCTGTGTAAATAAAGAGGGGAATGTATTGTACTCAATGGAGGATATAAAGGGTGAAGTAAATTTTCACCTGATGTGGGCACCTACTTAGAATCATCTGAGTTGAATGTTTTTTTGTTTTGTTTTGTTTGGTTTTTTAATTTGCTAATTATAGAGAAAACTACATTTGACCATTGCCCAAGTTTTAGATGACTTAACATTGATTAGATTGAAACTCATTATTTTTCTTCTAATGTTTTGGTTAAAAGAAAAAAAAAAATGATAAGAGCTGGGGTGTGATCTTATGCCAAGATTCTGGTGTCTGACAGTTTGGGAAAAGCTGTTTCATTCTATTGTTTATGTGAGGCTTCTAATTGTACAGTAGTGGATTATTGGTGGCGTAGTAATGAAATACTTAACTCTTACGTAATTCTGGTTTATATTTTTGAAGGTTGTTAATTGTTTGCATATTTATGATTGTTAGCTGTTTTGTTGTGAAGAATATGTAAGTCCTTACATTTAAGGTACACTAAAGTAACAAAATTATTTTTTGTAGGACTGCAAAGTGTGTAGAATTAGCCTCAGCTGAATACAATGGAATACTTTGCACATAACACATAACTAGAGCACATCTAATATACAGTATGCTCTTGAATTTCAATTCTGTTCAATAACAGTCCAGACCTGAAATATTTAATATCTGCTCTCAAGAAAGATTGAAATGAACCTAGAAAAAGTACCATATGAAACCCTCTGATAAACTATATTGTGCTGCGAAGTTGCAATTGCTTGAATTATTTCTGACTGTTCTATTTGCTTACTGTTACACAATTTTTCCACTAAGTAATCTGTTATATTGGTAAAGCATTTTTGAAGTATATTCATTTTTAGCTCTTACAAAGTAATGCCAGGCTACAGTGTAAAATATTTATAGTTTTATGTCAGATGAGCTATTAAACTCAGGGAAAACAAAAAATAAACAACAAATGAACCAAATATTTTTATGGCTTGCTTAACTCTGAAGTTGAGTGAAAACCAGAATGCTGACTCTGCTGACTCTTTTACACAGGTATGTATATGTGTGTGTTTTGATAAAAAAGAGAACAAAAAGGAAGTTTTTATTAGGTTTTTTTTAAAAGCATAGCTCTAGCTTAGATGCCACTCTTTATACTTAATGGAGATGATGAACTTTTAAGAAGATTTATGTTCCTTAATGAGCGTACTACTTCATTTGAAATGTATGAAGTATAATATGCTTTGTTCCATGCATGGATAATGTAATACTGTTATGCTAGTTGTCTTTAATTTAAAAGATTGTTATTTTTCAGTGTATTCTTATGTAATGTAAGTACTTTCTGTGTGATTTGAACATATATAACAAAAATATTAGAATGTATGAACTAGAATGTAGTAGTCAGTCTATTGTTCTTAACTACTTATCCAACAGGAGACAGAGCTGAAAATGGGAGGTAGCTATCAGAAAAAAATTACTGCTATCAGCAGAGCCACAGCTGAGTGTTTCATGTTCTTATGTGTAAACTCAGCTTAGATCAAACATCAAGCTGTGGTCAATATTAGTTTATTCTGACTTTATTGCTGTCAGCATTATCTGACTGAAACCTCCTGGTGGATGAAAGGTTTTCTGAGTTGGTTTGTGCCTGGCGTAGCTCTGTGGTTTGAACTCTCTTTCTGGGCACTTTGTTAAAAAGTTCCTAGGAGGTATCAGCGAAGAGCTGAGAACGTACTTCTAGACTCTGTGCACAGCATAGATGCACACTGATGGAACAGGTTAGGCATATGTTCTTCTATTGCCACGCTGTACATTCATTAAGTTTTTAATACATTTCAATACATCTTTCTTAGAAGAAAATTAAACATTTACAAAGGTTAGTGTAAATAAATAAATGTGAAGTCTCATTTTAGGCAGCCATCTTTTCTTGGCTCTCGAAACACTGCACAGGTTTGTGCTTGCTTTTTCACAATTCATATTTGTCACAAATGTGAGAAAACTGTGTTTTCCCTCAAATTCAACGGTATCCATTTTTCAAACCTCTTACCTCCCTACCTCTTTTATTTTCTTTTTTAAATATAAAGGAGGGGAAGATAGATCTGTAAAGCTTTCAAGCTCACTCATGCTTGGCATGTTTCTCATAGGAGACAGGAGAACACTTTGTGCTTCCGTATGCTTCTTGCACTCCTCAATAGCCATTTGGACTGAATTATGATCCATTCCTTAATGTAATAAATAACATTGATAGTATATATTTTTAGTTGTGCATGCAAATCTGAATGGCACTGGCAATCTTTGCCAATTGGACTGGAAAGTATGAATGTATATATTCAGACTTAAGAAGTTATATGTATTAAATATAAAATCTAAACCACGTATGCAAGACATGAGAATTCTAGCTATTTCTTCTATTTGTGACTGGACGTATCTGCTGCTAAGATTTTCACTGCAAACCAGATTGACTTATATTAAATGGTCTTTGGGAATAAAATCAACATGAATGACAAAAAAAACATGATTTTGCTTTTTAAATGTTCGTATCTAAAGCAGACACTAGCCTACAATTATTACAGAACAAACTTTAAAGATAAGTAATAGAAAATGTGGGGTGATTTTAATAATTGCATCTATAACAATAGCCGGTAGTTTTAATTTTTAAAGAAGAACCTCTGTGAAATCGAACAGTGACTGTGTTTCTGTTAGTCTCTTAATTTGGATCTGGAATGAACCTTGAAATGAGTTTCTGGATCATCTAAACCATTCTTGCTTTTGTTCATGTCACTGAGTGCTGTTGGAGTACCCAAGCTGTATTACTTTTTAGATGAAACTAGATTGGAGAATGTGTCTCTGGAGTGCAATTTATGTGCTTCAGCATCTAGTGTTCAGTCTGTCTACAGGAACAGTTCAGGGACAGTTGAATTGACATCTGAAATGCATGTGTTGTGGATGAAGTGTCCTGCACTAATAGTTTAACTAATAGTTTAACGATCTGTTCTTATTTCACTGCAGTATTTACTAATGCACACATTGCTATTATCGTATGAACAGAACAAATAAATTTTTGTCTGAGTCAAGCTGTTTTTCCAGACTTTGTTGTTTACTCCTGCAGCATAGGTTTCATAGGAATTTCACATTCAGGAATTTGCAAGTTTATCATTAAAGGTAAAATCATTGTAGGAGGGTAGCTCAGAAAGAACTTGATGAAATGTGATTCTAGATGTTACGGCAGAAAATACTAAATCTAACAAAACTTGATTGAACTTTTTTTTTTTTTTTTTTTTTTTTTTTCAGGAAAGGACAGTAACAATTAGAAGACAAACTGTAGGAGGATTTGGATTAAGTATAAAGGTAGGATGATTTTTTGGTATATTATTCCATATCACACAGGAAAGTGTCTTTGTATATAGTTAATTTTAGTTTTAATGAGGACAAACTTCGGAGGACTAGGAACAACAGATAGAATATATTTTAAAAAGTTTGATGCTATCACAATAGGGTGGCCAGCAGCTACACCGCCCTATGGAACAGAAGGCAGTGGAAAGACCATCACATTAAGATTCAAATTAACAGATCTGTAATATGATTTGATATGAGAGTTGAAAAGTGTTTGCAACTGCACAGGCTGTACTTTTATTCAGTAGCAGTCTAATTTACGTGGTTGTTAATGTTAATTTACAGTGGCAGGCACAGAGAAGAGCCAGTAAGTTCATAATCAATTCTCCTGGAAATAATATCGTATTACTTCACGACAATTCATTAGTTGGGCAGAAAGTGTTACTCCTTTCTTATATTGTTTTCTGTAGATCAAGAAATTGCAGCTATTTATCAGAATAGTTACCTTACTTTTGCTTTCCTCAGTAAGAGTTAAGAACATTTGGAAGTGAAAGTGATCCTTTTTGAGGGACAGGGGGTTAATCATTTTTGTCCTCATAAGCTTTATGTAAATCTATATTGCCATTATTTTGAAAACCTTACCTTAGCTTAGAATTTCACTGTAAAGATTCAACGTTATTTTATCTTCTTAGCACAGCAGTCCTTAGCCTCAAGATGGCAATAGAAAAAAATCAAGTGTACTTCACATGAATGCAAAGAGCCTTGAATGTTGCATATAAAGTTGAAGTACAGGCTTTTCTGTGAACAGCTGCTAGAACTGACCTTATAAAAACTGACTCAGAAGAGGGATTAATGTCCATTTGTGTTGTCATTGATAAGAATATTGCTGAATAGAAATAAGAATTCTTAAAATATATCTTGGCACACTTCCTTTTATCTATTTGACCCACTAATGACCTCTTTTCAAGGAAAACTAATTGCTATTTTGTAGCCAAAATGTCTCATGAGTTTAGTCAACAGGGTGCAGTGTCCTTATAGGTTACAGTTCACTGAATAATTATGCAGTAATTGTGTCAGTTTACGATAAAGTATATGGGGGAATGAGGTTTTACTTAGTTGGTACTAAGAAATAGCTGCTAAGGGTAAATTTTGTTGTGGTTTGAAAAGCAAGTTTCATGAAGTTGAATAAAAGTAACTCAAATTGTTTTGTTTTTGGTTTTGTTTTTTTTTTTTTTTTTGGTTATACTTTACAGTAGGTTATCTTTTAAAATTAAAATTGTGAAAAGAAATTAAGATCACTTTGTATTTAAGTATCAGGTAAATAGGAGAAAAATAATCACTGACATATAGAAATTATGAAGTGAATGGATGGATGGTCTTTCTTAAGGTAGTGCCATTTTTTTAGAGCAAAATATCCACTGTTCTGAATAAATTTCTTGGAAGCTGCAAAAGGATTTAAAACTGCCAATGTGACTATGGATTTTTCAGATTATGAGTTCAACCTCGGAAGATATCTTTATGCATTCATGAAAGACCATATAAACTGAATAAGGTCCTATTTCTGTTAAATAATCTATATTAAAAGAAGCTGCAACAGAATTTACAAATCATAGCATTAAATTATTAAACATAGCTTCCAGTTTTACTGCCAAGTTGTTTTGATCATAATTAATAAGGTAGTGGAGCTACATACATTCAGGCTTGAATAGATATTTTCTTTTCAGTTTTTAGAATGACTAATGGCCAGATGAAGATTGTTAGTTACTTTAACAGATATTGCTTCAACAGATGTCGTTAAGTAGACAGATCTTTCTCAATAAAATGCATTCAAACTCAGTCAGATGGTATAGATTAGATAATGAAAACGGTGAGAATAATTCCATGGTCTGCAGTATTCTGTAAGTGTGTTTGAAGTAAGATGATTCTGCTTGTTCTAAGAGTCAATGAACTCAGGTCCTATTTTGCTAGATTTTTTTTATTATTATTATTTTTATTTTTTGTGATCACATATTCTTAAAAAATAAGTAAATAGATGAGCAATTGGATATTAAATTCTACCTAAAACAAAGTATTCTGTATAAGCTTATATTACCATATTTAACTTGTAGTAGGAAATAGAAATGGAACTTAAATGATGCTTTTTGTAGTTTTCTAGGCAAGCTGTGTGAATGCTCATTGACAATAACTTTTTGGGTATGCAGTGTAAGTTCCAAGTATACTGAAAAGTGTCAGCTTTCTCTTTTAAAAGGTACCAGTCAATCTTCTTGAAGATGAGTAATAGTTTGCTATTTTGTTTTGGTTTGTTTGGGAAAAATACTGAAATAATAATAATAATTATAATAATTATATAATTATATATATATATATATAAATAGGAAAAAAAAAGTATGTTGTGAAAATGACTTAAAGTAGGGATCTACAAGTTACCCTGAAGGAAAGGCTGCTATGAGAGCCAAACCTGCTTCATATGGTTCATGAAGTTTATCTCACGGCATGTAAAGAAGTCTTAACGTACCCAAGCTTTATCTTTACAGGATCTAGGAGATACGATATAGATGTCTCAAAACAAAACCCGTAACTATTAAATTTGAGACCTAGGCAAAAAGCTAGTGGTGGAGGAATAGTAAGGAAATTCTGCACCTGATCCTGACTGATTAATTTTTTCGTGCCTGGTGCTTGTTTTCATTTTTGGCACTCACATGTACACTCATAAAGAAACTCATGACTCTGTATGTAAGTATACTTGCTGAGGTATCACATTTCAAGTATTGAAAGTCCCTATGCTTTATAGAGAAGAGAAATACTGCCATAAGGATATACCAGGACCCAAATTTCTGTATACATCTGGAAACCAAAGCAGCTTAGTTTTGGGTGGCCAATTAGGTTTTTCTTTTTTTCCCTGTTCTTGTGCCTGTGAACCAGCTCCTGTACTTTTGTAGTTTCTTCTTTTATGAAAAAACATCACTGATCACTTTGTTTTAAGACTTGATCCCAAGTGCTGTAGTGCTTCACTTTCTGCAGCGGATGTGAAGTGAGCAGCTGTAGCTGATCAGCCATCATAAATTAACCATCCGTGCTTGATAGTCAGCTTGTTGAACCTTTCTATCTGTGTTAGGGCTTTTGGAAAGGTGCTTAAACCAACGAGCCATGCAGGCTAGGTGGGATAACCCACCTGATCTCCATTACTCAGCTGCCACTTCTTGATGCCAACAACTTATGCCTTAAGCACGATTCTTACTTTAGTCACCACATGTTTCAGAAACTCAGTCTGGTTTTAAAAGTTTTGAATAAATGTGAATGTAATGTATCCCCTGCTACTGCTATAAATGGGGCAGGGAACAGTAGCAAACCCCTTCTGACTCAGCAGCAGTGCAAATAATGTGACAAAGTCTTAGGGCTTTTGTGTTTGTTTTGGTGAATTTGTCTCCCACAGCCTCCTGTATTACAGCAGTTCTGTGTCTCAAGTTATTTAAAGATGAGTGTTATCTGAGCTCTTTCTTTCTGTCTTATCTGAGATGTGAGTTATAAGTGTACAGTGGTTAATGCCTCTCACTTGAAAGTATTTGCTTGTGCTTTGAGGTGAATTTGTCTAGTTTTGGCATTCAGCTGAAGAATATTGTCATCTGTTTTTTCCTGTTAATTTGATTGTCTGTTTGCTAACAGAAATCTTACATGAACAAGTCACTTTCTCTTAAATGTCTTATCCTACCTTAAATATTTTTGGCTTTCTTCAATTTATTACTTTCTTTCTCTCTCTTTCCCTTCCCCCCCTACCCCCCCTTCCCCTTTTTTTTTTTTCCTTTTTCTTTCTTCAGAGCAGAAAGAAGTTAGTAAATTCAAAATGAAACTTCCCTGTCTTTTTTTTTGTGATTTCTTTGTGGAGAGAAAACTCTTTTGTGTTCTAACTTAGATGCTCCAACTAAGTTGTAAAAATCAGATTCATCTTAAAAAAACTACTTACAAAATTGATTTTTACACAAGATCTGAAACTAAGCCCTTTTAAAAATTGATTACAATCCACTCTTTGTACGTTTGATAGAAAAAATACTGTTTTGTGTTCTGCTGTACTTCATTTTACTGAAGTTAATGGTGAAAGTTAATTAAATTTGGAGCTGACCTGATCTGTTTCACACTGCTCAGAAGGAATTATTTTCTCATTTCTGAAGCCCCTTTAAAACCCTCATTAATAAACCTCTGTGAGAAGGAATAGTCATGGAGTAAAATTTAGAAATTGATGACTGCAGTGTAGTATTTCAGTATTCATCACATCTCTGACAAGTTTGAGTTGCAGAGATTTGACACAAGAAGCTGCAAAGTGTATGACTTATGAAAGAACATCGTGTTTCTTAATAATTGTAGAGTGTAGTGTTCTTGGGGAAATAGGCACTAGAAGTAATAGTTCATTAAATTAATTAAAGTTTGCAGTTACAGGCTGACTTCTAGATACCAGAATTCTGTACTGAGCCATTATCATGCTTCTCTTTTGATCATTCTTTATACAATGAATTTTATTACATATCTTCTAAGATTGTTTGACTTCTCAAAGTGTGTCTACATAAAATATCTATAAAGGTACTGTTCTGAATACACCTTTGAATATATTCAGATAATTTTCTTCATATCCATTCATTCTGTGATAATCTTTGTTATGAGAACATTTTCTCTGCATTTCAAGTGGAAACAATAAAAGTTAGAAAGCACTGTTTAATGTTGGAAATATCTACATAATTTTTGTATCTCTGTATCAGGACGGTATCTCTGATAAAAGCAGATTTTTTTTGCGATTGCTATGGTGGGCATCGCGCATGCAGGAGCACCCTTAAGGACACAGTGACAGCTTTTTGTACCTTGTTTCCCCCTTTGCCTGTCCCCCTCTCCTGTTTCCCCATTGTCTGGGTACTCCAGGTTCACAATCTTATCAAAGTTTACATTTGTTAATTGGTTTGTTATCTAGTGTCAGTCAATAGCCACCCTGTTGTTTTCAAGATGTCTCAGTGGTCTTCTTGTCGTACTGATATGGTGATTTTCTTCAAAGTCTTCATTAAACAAAGAGCACTGGGGGGCGGGGTGATGCCAGGCCTTCCCCATGTCTCTTCAGGTGCTTCCTTGGGCATGTCATGCCTTGTTCTCTGGTTTGATCAGTCTCGTGCAGGATATTCTTGCAATGTGTATGATGAAATATATATGTATACACTTATGTACTGAGTGTGCATTACTAGGGAAGGTTCTTCTAGAGGATGAGTGATGCAAACTATCAGAGACACCCCCTCCAAGTAAAGTAGAAAGACTCCCAAAAAGAACTATGACAGCAGAGACCATGAAATAAAAAAGAAATTACCCAATTCTAATGCAGAAACAACATTTGATTCCCACATTTAATAGGTGAATTATCTAGCTTTTAGTTTACAAATCTATCCAGGTAAACTATTATATCAAACAGTGAAGTTGCAAAGGGATAATTAACACTAGCATGTTGTTGTCTGTATTGTTTAATTGTTAGCATGTTACCTGTCATGATATTGCTTATGCCAACTAGAATTTTGAGATAAGACTGTTCATGATCACAGATCAGAACATTACATGAACCACTTCCAAAAGACAAAATGCATCACGTCATTCTATTTCAGTCTCGAAGACAATTTGTCTACATAGACATGAGCCATACTGTTAAGCAAAAAGGGCCAGAGAAGTGATTGTCTCTCTCAGCTCCGTGCTGGTGCAGCATTAGCTCATCTACCAACGTGTAGTTTTGTGCACTCAAATGCCAGTGATTAAAGCTTCCTTTACTTCTTTTAATAGGACCATCTCTGGAGCTGGGCAGCCACTTTTATTCCAGGCTAATACTTGCACAACTTTTCTGCTTGAGGAACAGTGGCAAAGAAAATTTCTGTTACAAAGAGCAGTGGTAGAATCTGAAAACTGAGTCATTAAGCCTTCAGTAATGTTAACTGACGTGTTTGTCCCTCTGCTGGTCTGGGATTGTAACTGTGTGTCCACACTAGAGTAGGGAAATTTTAAGAGTTGAAAAGTAGCCATTGTTTCCAGAGCTTTCAGAAGCAGTGTATCTCTTGAGCCTGTAAAGCCATAATTCATGCACTTTTACAGAGAATTAGACATGTATGAGGTAATGAGTCGTAAGATTAATTCAAAAAGGATCCTTTATAATGACTGGAAGTGGTTGCAGAAAGGGGTCATTTTTTGTTTTTCAGAAACATTAAGAGATGCTTCTTCAAAACTACTGTGAAAATGGAGTTAGATATAGAAAGTGAGAGGACAAGTTGGCGCCCATACCTGTTTGGTTTAGGAATAACAGGAATTCCCCTCTTTACTGGAGAGCTGAGTTGAATCAGGGAGAGGACGGTTTACTGAGAGAAAAAGACCTTAGTTATGTTGAACTTTAATCACTGAACTCCTTGGCTGAACTTCAAATGTCTTGCATAGTGAAATATTTTTGTAGCATATTGAAGACTTAGAGAGGGAACTGACATTTGTTTGTTTGAAAAATATAGAAGAAATTAAATGTGCATGTAGCTGAGGAAAACTCTGAAGGAATTAAAGAAAGTCTTATTAATTTAGTGATCTTCAACTGATTATCTAAAGTGAAGCCAGTGTTTACAACTGCTGTTTCTATGGTGAAAACCATCCAAAGATATTTAACAAGTTACAATGCTGCAAAATGTTGAGTTTCAATCTGTAAAGCTGACTGAAATGAAAGCAACATCATGGTTTTTGTGGAGACCATGACCATCTGGGACGTGTGCAGTGGCAGAGGTGAAAGGCTCTTTCTTTGTATAAATAGAATTTAAATACTTTATGAGACTGCCCATAGAGGAGGAATACACAGAAGCATGTTTTCTATGGTTTTCTTTTTGTCTATTCCATAACAGATAAAGATGTTGAGTGCAGGTCTCTGTTCAGTTTCAAACAATTGGTTCCTGCATGAAGAAGGGATCTGTATTAATCCTTAGAACATCAAAATATCCAGGTCAGACCATTCAACTCATTGACACAGAGTGCCTGGACCTAAGGAGTCTGTAGTTTTCAAACAAACAAAAGAAAAATAAGCAAACATTGAACCAGGATTCTTAGGCAAAATGACAGTGTGGCATATTGTCATTTCTGATTATCTGAATTTGTATAGGTTATGTTCAGGCTGGCACTTTGATGTTGTCTTCAAAGGAAGAAAAATATTTGTGATTCTGTTACATACTTGTCTTTTTCTTTCTATGAGTATGCTTTCCATTTAAGGTTTCTTTTTAATACCTTCAGCACCATAAACGTTTCCAGTTTCACTAGGATAAATTGAATGAAACAACAGCATTGAATTGCTGTCAAACTGTTGAATTATCATTCAACTTTCCTTTATTTTTCCCGCATTTATTGAACACCTACTGTTCCACTTAATGTTTTCTTTTTCTGTTCCTTGTTACTTATCCCACTGCTTTGCTCACTCTTTGTTCATGTGTGACAGAGATGGAAGCAAATAAAGACTGCTTTTGAGATGAAAGTCCAAACTTGCTTTTCTTGGGCTTTTGTTTACATGTTTCTTACCAGCATGAAAACTGAGTGTTCACAGCATGGTTGCTATTGTGGTGTGATGGCCATTCTGCCTTTGTAGGACACAGTTTCATACATTAAACTGTCCAAAAATTGTAGAAACTGGTGTTCTTCAAGTCTTGTTCACTTCCTTGGCCAGTTATGGAACCCGGGAGCTTCTTCATGAGAAGCAATAAGAAGTAAGGAATTAATCCAAATCAATTCTATATTAGAATTAGGAATAGACAAAAAGAAGAAAATGTGGTTTCAGAATTATTTTCTCAGTCTCTCTGAAACCAAGTTACAGAAAGGGTAAAATATAATTTCAAGCAAAAAGATATTTCCAGTGACTCACGAGATTGCTGTTTATTTTATTTTCAGGGTGGAGCAGAACATAATATTCCAGTGGTCATTTCTAAGATTTCCAAAGAACAACGAGGTGAGTGTCAGATTAGTGCACTATGTCTTGATATGCTCTTTAGAACAAAGTGTTCTAAATATTGAGATTCTTCAGGAAGTGGTAAATAAATGCTATTGATTTCTCTTTCCATGACATCATGATTTCTCTTTTCTTTAGAACTATTCTCTATAAATATACAAAACTCATATTTGGAGAAGTTTCTAAACATTGTCTTCAAATGATCTTTTAAATGTTCTTGTAGAGCATAATTTGTAAGGGAAAAAAATATTCATGAAAATATTTAATAACTTTAAGCAGTGCAAAAATTAATACTTCTGTCTTTTATTTCTGAATGCTTATTGCCAGAAAGAAGTAGCATATTGAAAGTTTGATCATTAAAATATGTGAATGCAAGAAGAGAAAGCATGTCATTTTATACTGGATAGTAGGATAGTACTCGGGTGGGTAGTGGCAGAATCTTGATAATACCCTTTGCTATTTCAACATAGACTCGTCGAATCACAAAATGGCCTGGGTTGAAAAGGACCACAATGATCATCTAGCTTTCAACCCCCTTCTATGTGCAGGGTCACCAACCATTAGACCAAACTTACTGGAGCCACATCCAGCCTGGCCTTGAATGCCTTCAGGGAAGTGGCGCCCTCAACCTCTCTGGGCAACCTGTTCCATTGTGTCACCACCTTGGAGCAAAAAAATTCCTCCTGATATCTAACCTAAATCTCCCCTGTCTTTGTTTAAAACCATTCCCCCTTGTTCTATCACTATGCATCCTTGCAAACAGCCATTCCCCCTTCTGTTTATATGCTCCCTTCAAGTACTGGAAGGCCACAGTGATGTGTTCTCCAAGCTAAACAAGCCCAGTTCCCTCAACCTTTGCTCACAGGAGAGGTGCTCCAGCCCTCTGATCATCTTAGTGGCCCTCCTCTGGATCCATTCCAAGAGCTTCATATTTTTCTTGTACTGGGGGCCCCAGGCCTGGATGCAGTACTCCAGATGGGGCTTCATAAGAGCCGAGTAGAGGGGGACAATCACCTCCCTCTCCCTGCTGGCCACCCCTTTTTTAATGCAGCTCAGGATATAGTTTGCCTTCCAGGCTGCAAGCACACACTGCTGACTCATTTTCAGCTTCTCGTCCACCAGAACCCCTAAGTTCTTCTCCGCAGGGCTGCTCTTAAGGAGTTCTTACACCTGGGATTGCCCTGGCCAAGTACAGCACTTTGCACTTGGCTTTGTTGAACCTCATTAGGTTCACATGGGCCCATTTCTCCAGTCTGTCCAGGTCCCTCTGGATAGCTTCCTTTCCCTCCAATATATTGACCGCACCAGTCAGCTTGGTGTCATCTGCAGACTTGCTCGATTCCATTGTCTATGTCACTGATGAAGATGTCGAAGAGCACCAGTCCCAAGACTGACCCCTGAGGGACACTGCTTGCGACTGGCCTCCACTCAGACATAGAACCGTTGATCACAACCCTTTGGCTGTGACCAGCTGACCAGTTCTTAATTCATCTAGTAGTCTATCTTTTGAATCATACCACTCCAATTTAGAGAGAAAAACATTTGATGCTGCGGTCTGTAAACTTTTGCAGCAACTGATATATAGCAAAATAAGTACTGTATGAAGTCTTTAATCATGCATATTTTTAACTGCCAATGTTTTGAAATTGTTAGAATGATATATAAGCTATGAAGATGGGTTCTTGTTAGATGACTTGTGATGCACTCGATGAAGGATCAAGGTTGTGAAGAAGTACTTCTAGGGTGTATTTATGATCTTTGTTATGTTTATGTGTATTTGTGTATATAAGCATAAGCAAACTTGGAAGCATTTTCCTCCATCTGCATACAGTAATTTTGGAATGCTGCTTCTGCACAACTAAAAAGTTCAACTAGAAAAAAAAAAACTCATATTCACCCACACACTGTAGATAAAGAAATGAAATACTGAGAACTGAAAGCTGACCCTGAAATGTAGATGTGATACTCGTGTATAGAGATGCTGCAGTGTAGCAGAGAATGAGCCCCTAAGGAAAACAAAAAGGTTAGTCTTAAGAAGTGACTCCATTATTTTCAGTATAAATATAAGTGTGTAATACATAATAATGTGGCATATATTGCCTATGCTAGTTATTAAAAAGCTATTAAGCACTGCAGGAAAAATAAGAAACATAGATCGAAGTTTAATTGAGCACACCAAAGTGCACACTGTTTCCTTTTATTATTTTTTGTTTGTTTGTTTGTTTTGTTTTTTTAGAGCAATGCATTATTTCTAACTTCAGTACATACTCAAGGTATAAACTCTGTTACTGCTTTCAATAAAAATACTAGTGTTTAGAGAGCTAGTTGCGAGGGATGTCTCTGCTGTAGAACAAGGCTATGCAAGTGTCATCTCTGCTTGGCATCTTGGAAAATGCTGTTTAACCTAGAATCTGTACCTCAGAATATTGGAGGCTTAGTTCTTCCCTTTTACCAATTGGATTCTGGTTCATTTTTTAGGCCTCTAAACAAGAATGTGATAGTTCATGCAATTCATACCAACCATGTTGTATGTAGGTAATTAAGTCATATGTAATCTGTTAGTACATGTAAACCCCATGTCTAAAGAGGAATATTGAGATACACATTTCTTAAACATAAAATATATTAGAAAATCCTCTCAAAATTTAAGAATCCATTGTTGTATCTTGCCTAATAAAGCCAGACCTTCAAATATCATAATTTATGTGAATATCAATGCCAGTCTCTCAACTCATGTAAAGAAGTAAAAATTAGTTGGATCAAGTCAAGTTTCAGACTTTTCTAAACAGCATTTTCTGTGATGTTTTAAAATGCTATAGACAAATAATTCCATGTATTCTGTTAGTATTCCTTAGTTTTCATGTTAGAGATTATATATTTCTTTATAGACACTTAACCTTTATTATATTAATTCTGTGTTTATGAAGTGCATTTGATAGCTCTGTAATATAACTAAATATTTTAAAATGTTAATTTTTGAATCAGTTTTTGTTAATTCCCTTATGACTTGAAGGGTATCTATTTTAAAAATCAAGTCCAGTTTTTATGGTGATTTTGTACAACATCCTGATTGTTTAGCTCTTGAACAGAGAATAACGTATGAGTTAACCAAAGACATAGGATCAACAGTTTCTTTGATAAAATCTTACAAGTTAAACGGTGTCTTTCATAAGTAGCTCTAGAGTTCTTTTCCCACAAAGCTTCTAAGAAATCATGTCTCACAGGTAAATAGGACCTAGTTCTGCAGTCATTATGTTTTCAGAAAAGCATGCCATACTTCACCATTATTGCCCAAAAGATGCTATACATTGATGGAAGATGTTTTGGAGTTTTGTTACTTGGGATGAAAGAACTCTTTCACTGAAATAATGAAAGCTGGTATTTGAGGATTAATAAGATTCCGAATATCTACTTAGAAGCTACCTATTGCCTTTTTTTTTTTTTTTTTTTTTTCGTTTATTTAAAAAAAAAAAAATATGCAAAAACCTAAATGAAATGTAAATTTAAGTGCAAGAAATATGGGATATTTTGTGCAAATTGAGTGAAAAATATGCTTTCTATTTTCAGCTGAACTTTCAGGTTTGCTCTTTATAGGAGATGCAATTCTGCAGGTGAGTGAACTTGGAAGAACTTTTATGTATAATTTTCTAGAAAAGTGAAATAAAATCTATACTTATGAAATGTAGAGTAAGTCTTCTCTTTATCTTTTTAATAACAGATTAATGGAATTAATGTGAGAAAATGCAGGCATGAAGAAGTGGTGAGCTTTTCTGTTTTTCAGTCTACATTTTGTCTATTGTAGTTATTGAGATGACAGCAGTACACTGGTTTCAGTTGTATTATTGTTATTCCTAAAAAAAATAGACTGTACCTTCTTGTTTAGAAAATCTTTTATCTTCTTTGTGGACTTGTTATAATTACTGTTCTCAGATTGTGTATTAAAGGTGGTTACTTTATTATGAGGATTTTAGTTGTATGTTTTCCTAATCGTTCTTCTTCTGGCTTATACCTATCAAATTTCAGTACTGCTAAACCTTTCTGGTTGTGCGAGGTCATTTTAATTTCAGTCATAATTTGCACTATGTTGGGATTTATTTGTTGTTTTAAAACCTGTTTAAAATCAAAACAAAGCATTAGTCTGGCTTCCATTCTCTGGCTTTAATTTATGAGGATGCTCTCCTTGTTTATAAGGGTAGAAATGAACCGAGTACTAAGGAGATTCCTCTTAGAGCAGGCATGTGTATTTGAGTTTTAAAAGTATTGTCTTATATTTGGCTGTTTGATTGTCCTTAAGGACTTTCAGAAGTAGGAAACACTAAACTTGAGAAATAATGCCATGAATGGAAGATTACCAAAGATTACTAAAGAAATTATCTTTTATTTCTGTTTAGGTCCACAGAAACTATAATTGTGAAGCTCATTTTATCGATTCATAAATGTTCTGTATTTAATACTGTATTCTGTTTTATGACAGATTGATAAATGTATGCCATTCAGGTATAGAAAGCACAAGTTGATGAAATTCTGATAAACAAATAAGTGCAGGCTGAAAGACAAAAAGAATGCACTCTTCCACCTCTTAGAATGCATTTATGCAGTGGTTTTGTGCTGGAAATTTGTGTTGCAAATCATTCATCATTCCTTAGAACTGTCAACAGTTTATTGGCTGGTTCGGCCCAGTTCTGTGAGTAGCAGGGCAGAGGGATTTCACAAAATCCGTGCCTCCAGAAAAGGGAGACAGGAGACCCCAAAATAATTAAAAACAGTGGCAACGATCTGAGGAGAAACAAGCTAATTTACTAAATATGATATCAGAATGCAAGGTAACACACTATAATACAATATAATTAGAATTGAAGCTAATAAATCAAATATAATGAGAGAGAGAGAATGTCCGAAAGTTGGAAAGGCCTCACCATAACACTGAGGTGAGATGCGCAGTCCGGTTGAGCAGCAGGGAAGAGAGCCTGATGAAGATGAGGACATGGTGACTTTGCCAGGCTTGTATCTCCTCTTTGACTGCAAAGCCCCCTGGAGTATGTAGTTCTTCTCTTCTGGACAGCTGCCTGGAACTGGAGCATTAACAGTTTAACTCCCAGTACACTACATGGTGTTATGATGTGGAATACTGATAACCAAAAGTCATAAAACCATGATAAGAACCTTAATCCATCTTCTATATAAAAGAATAACATTCATATTTGCCTTAGTTTTAAGCTTTGGCTGTGCAGTAGTGGCCAGATTTTAATCTTTTATAGGATTACTATAGTTTTGTTTTAATGCTTTAATATGGTAAATATCTCAATGGGATTTCAATGTGATGTTGAAATTTCAAGACATGAGATGTTAACAAAAGTGCAGACCTGCATATAAAAAGTCAAATTAAAACTGGTAAGTTCATTCAAAACTGCCCAAAAGGACAGATTCACATAGAGTAGCCAATATCATTTTATTTTATACCTTTTTAGTCCCACATAATGTTCTTCTCAGACTCCTTATAAATAATGTTATTTGAATAAGAATAATAACACAGCAAAGGTGTTACCTTACTAGTTATGAATGTGCCATGGTGTATATACAAGTACTTGTTCAAATAATAGTACTTGGACAAATAATAAGTACTTGAACAAATAATTTCTAAGAATGAAGAATTGATATTGGCCAATATTTAAGTAATCTATGTAACATTTTTTAAACTAAGATCTGCAGAGGAAGAGATATAAAACAAACATAAATGCCAAATTTTTATTTTTATTTTTATTTTTTTTTTCAGAAACATTGAATTTAGTATGATCATAGAATCACAGGATCACAATAGTTAGAAAAGACCTCTAATTATTACCTCGAGTACTGTGTTCAGTTTTGGGCCCCTCACTACAGGAAAGACAATGACGCCCTGAAGCGTGTCCAGAGAAGGGCAACGAAACTGGTGAGGGGTCTGAAGCACAATTCCTATGAGGAATGGCTGAAGGAGCTGGGATTGTTTAGTCTGGAGAAGAGGAGGCTCAGGGGAGACCTCATTGCACTCTACAAATTCCTGAAGGGAGGTTGTGGTGAAAAGGGGTTTGGCCTCTTCTCCCAGGCAACAAACAGGACCCGAGGAAATGGCCACAAGTTGTGTCAGAGGAGGTTTAGGTTGGACATGAGGAAAAACTTTTTCTCTCAGAGAGTGGTCAGGCACTGGAATGGCCTGCCCAAGGAGGAGGTACAGTCGCTGTCCCTGACAGTGTTCAGAGGCATCTGGATGAGGAGCTGCGAAATATGGTTTAGTAGCTTGTGGTAGCAGTGGTAATGTGAAGATGGTTGGACTAGATGATGATCTTATAGGTCGTTTCCAACCTTGTGATTCTATGATTCTAATATCCTCCACTCCGACTGTCCACCTATCATCAGTATCATCACTAAACCATGTCTCTCAGTACAACATCTAGATGTTTCTTGAACATCTCCAGAGATGGTGGCCCCATCACCTCCCTGGGCAGTCTGTTCCAGTGACTGACCACTCTCTTGCAGAAGTAGTATTTCCTAACATCCAAACTGAATCTCCCCTGGCACAACTTGAGACTATTGTCTCTAGTCCTATTGCTAGTTATGTGAGAGAAGGGGCTGACTCCCACTTCACTACAACCTCCCTTCAGGTAGTTGTAGAGGGCGATAAGGACACCCCTGAGCCTCCTCTTCTCCACACTAAACAATCCCAACTCCCTCAGCTTCTCCTCATAAGACTTGTGCTACAAATCCCATGCTAGCTTTGTTACCCTTCTCTGAACATCCTGAGGGCCTCAATATCTTTCTCTTAGTGAGGGGCCCAGTACTTGAGTACAGCCTTACTAGTGCCGAGTGCAGAAGGATGATCAGTTCCCTGTTCCTACTGGCAGCACATTTTCTGATACAAGCCAGGATGCCATTGGCCTTCTTGGCCTCCTGGGCACATTGATGGTTCGTGTTCAGCTGAACATCAGTATTCCCAGGTCATTTTCCTCTACACAGTCTTCCAGTAACTCTGTCCCAAGCCTGCAGCATTATCTAGGGTTGTTGTGGCCAAAATGCAGGACTCAGCATGTAGTCTTGTTGAACTTCATCCCATTGGTCTCAGCCCAGCTATCCCATCTGTCCAGATTGCTCTGTAGGTCCTTGCTATCTCCAGGCAGATCAACACTTCATCCCAACTTGGTGTCATCTGCAAACTTACTGAGGGTGCACTCAGTGCTCTCATCCAGGTCAACAGTAAAGATACTGAACAGAACAGGCCTCAACTCCGACCCCTAGATAATATCACCACTCCTGACCAGTCACCAGCTGGATTTAACTCCATTCAGCATGAATCTCTGGGATTGGTCAAGCCAGTTATTTACCCAGCAAAGAGTCTACCTGTCCAATCCATGAGCTGCCAGCTTTTCCATGAGAGTACTGTGGGAGACATGTCGAAGGCTTTGCTCAAGTCTAGGTTGATTATGTCAACAGCCTTTCCTTCATCCACTAGGCAAGTCACTCTATCACAGAAGGAGATCAGGTTGGTCAAGCAGGACTTGCCTGTCATGAACCCATGCAGGCTAAGCCTGATACCCCCACTGTACCACATATGACATGTGATCTCCCTCAAGATGATCTGTTCCATAACCTTTCCTGGCACCAAGGTCAGGTTGACAAGCCTGTAGTTCCCCAGATCCTCCTTACAGTCCTTCTTGTAGATGGGAGTCACATTGGCAAGCCTCCAAACCTCTGAGACTTCTCCGGTAAACCAGGAACATTGATAGATGATGAAAAGTGACTTGGCTATCACCTTCACCAGCTCTCTCAGCACCCTCAGGTTGATCCCATCTGTTCCTATGGGCTTGTGGCCATGAAGGTGGAGTATTAGATTCCTGTTTCCACCTGGATCTTGTGGGGGTTTATTCTGCTCCCCATCCTGGACTTCCAGGTCAAGAGGTAGAGTACACTGAGGATAACTGATCTCACTTTTGAAGACAAACTTAAAGAAGGCATTGAGAACATCAGCCTTTTCCTTATCCTCAGTGGTCACATCCCCTGCCACATCCAGTAAAGGACAGAGATTCTCCTTAGTCTTCCTCTTGCTTTTCATGTATTTGTAAAAATATATTTTGTTCTCTTTTACCCCTGTGTCCATGTTGAGTTCAAGCTGGGCTTTTGCCCTTCTAATTTTTGTCCTGCACATCCTGACAACTTCTTTATACTGTCCCCAAGTTGTCCAACCCTTCTTCCACAGGAGGTAGATTCTTTTTTCTCATGAAGCCTCAGGTAAAGCTTCCTGGCCATCCACACCAATCTTCTTCTTCTTTGCTGGCTCATGTTATGGCACACGGGGGGATAGCCTGCTCCTGCTCCTTTAAGACATAATTTTTGTGGAGTGACCAGGCTTCCTTCACCCTTCAGGACTGAATCTCAAGGGATTCTCTCTACCGGTGTCCTGAATAGTTCAAAGTCCACCTTTGGGAATTTCGAGGTAGCAGTTTTGCCACCCCCAAGAATCAAGAACTCTACCATTTCATGATAACTCTGTCCGAGACAGCTCCCAACTTCCACATCTCCCACCAGTCCTGCTCTGTCTGTGAACAGCAGTTCTAGTCGGGCACCTTCTCTGGTGGGCTCTCTTAACAGCTGCATCAGGAAACTTCCACACACTCTACAAACCTCCTAGACTCCTTCTGTTCTGTACTGTATTTCCAGCATATATTGGGGAAGCTGAAGTCCCCCATGAGAACAAGAACTGGAGATCATGCAAGTTCTGCCAGCTGCTCA